CTGACCGTGAACTAGAAGGCATCGCTGCAGTGGTCCATGCAGGGAAGGACGCAGCCTGAATGGGCCATGTGCCACGGGACAGAGAGGTGGGTGGAGATGAGACAGGGTTGTCTGGCAAAATGATTGGGTTTTGGGGGCAGGACCCTTGGAAATTCTGAAAGAGGGGCAGGCTTGCTGGCCCATCAGTTTTGAGAATGGACACTTAGTAAAAGGAAATAATATGTAACAACTATCATCTGCCACGTGTTGCCGCCCCACCCAAACCCCAATCCATGGATGTTCACACTCATGGGTGCTAAGGGGACAGGAAGACAATGCGAGGACGCATCCTCTGCTGCCATCTGCCCCCTGGGGGCCACGGCCTTCCACAGGCCAGTCCGCATCCATGCCAGACCTTCAGCCCTGGGAATGTCTTGCTTTCATTCATCGCCTAGGAAAGGCGTCCACTCTGTTCCATTCCTTTAAAGGCCCCTGGCTCTCCTGGTGCTCATGGGAACGGAATAAACCAGCAGTTCTCAACCTTGTCCTACAACAACCCAACTAGGAACTAGGGTCTTCCGTGTGCTGCTACCCACCTCGTGGAGAATGTGAGTCCTGCACAGACACGTCAGCTGCAGGTTACATGCCATTCCTGGTGCGCCTGCTACACCCCAGGACGTGCTGGGATTGACCACCCCTGGCATAGGAAGCTGCTGTGGGTGGACACCTGCACTGCCGTCCAGGAGCTGCCCCGGGCTGTCGCTGTCCTTCCCTCCACCCTGCCCCTCCTCACTCCACCGCTGCTATGCTTTCAGCCAGCTCTGTTTTTTGTTTTTTGTTTTTTGCGGTACGCAGGCCTCTCACTGCTGTGGCCTCTCCCGTTGCGGAGCACAGCCTCCGGACGCGCAGGCTTAGCGGCCATGGCTCACGGGCCCAGCCGCTCCGCGGCATGTGGGATCTTCCCAGACCGGGGCACGAACCCGTGTCCCCTGCATCGGCAGGCGGACTCTCAACCACTGCGCCACCAGGGAAGCCCTCCAGCTCTGTTTTTGATTCCTACCTATCCTCTAACCCAGGATCCCCTACAGGTACAGAGAATAGGTTGGCCCGTATAAGAAAAATCCAAATTGTCCTGCACGTGTGTGGCAGGCCTTGGGTGGGCCTGGGAGACAAACCTGGCTCCACTTCAGGGGCTGCATCCTGGTCATCCTTACAGAGTTGCAGTGAGGCTGTGCATAGATGATGCTTACCAGGGTCTGTATCACCTGCGGGTGATGTAGCAGGACAGCACTGGGGCATTGCTAAGAAACCGTACCTGCAAGCTAGAAGTTAGATCTAGGTGTCACCGTTTCCTTTTCTCAACCACATAAAGTAACTGTGCTGGGTTTTAGAAGGTGGGGCTGGAGGGCTAAGAGGTTAGGCAAACCCCACTTTGGGACTTCCCACAACCTGGCGTCTCTCACCTGGCCTGGCAGAGGCTGTCAGGAGGACCTGGGGGAAGCCACTACCACCAAACATCCCAGCTTGCAGACAGTGCTGTCCTTGCCTTTCTCACGTTCACCAGTAGCTGCCGCTCGGTGTGAATGTGAAAAGGCTCCTTCACCAGCCTCCGACTGCGACATCTGCAGAGCCGCTTCAGCGATTCAGTGATGGCCTCTCTAGACCGGGGTAGAGTTGCAGACCACCCCCAATTTCCGGAGCAGCCAGAAAGCCTGATTTTCACGTGAACATTTCTGAATTTTTAAGGACATAATTTAAACATATTTTTAAATTAAAAAACGAAACAAGAACTAAAATGACACACCACGGGGCCAAAGGCTGTTTGGGCCAAACCACACATGTTTATGGGTCATGGGCCACCAGCTCTGCATCTCCTTTGACTAAAATTCTGCTCTCTAGCCCATTACATGGGTAATCGATGTCAACTCGTGCCTGGGTGGTAGTCACAAGTCTCTCCAGAACATGACTTCTGCTGTCTGCAGGACACCAATCACCCCTACCCAGCAAAGCAGGTCTCCAGGACTTTCCCCAGTCACCCCGCCTTAGTTCCCGGTCACCACACAGCTCCGGGGACGGAGACCGGTCAGCAAGGAGGAAACTGCACTTATTTTTTCTTGGCTTCTTTCCTCTCCTGGTTTTTCTCCGCTGGCTACATTGTTATTAGGACCTTCACCACCCCATGAAGGTCACTGGTGGCAGGTCACCACTCTCATTGGCAAGGCTCAGGTCTCTGGGATGGCATTTGTCACCTCTGCCACCTTAGTGACCTTGTCAAGAGAGGACAGAGTGGAGTCTGAATGAGATGTGCAGTTCGTCACCACACCCTGGTGATCCTGAGCTTCTACCAATGAGAGGTAGAGGCAGATTAGTCCAAGTATCTGGGAGGGACTGGGAGACTCCAGTCTCTGCCCACCTCATCCACAGCACTGTCCCTGACTGACGTGACTGAAACAGAATCCAGGGTGGAGAGCTCTGCTTTCTCTCCATCACCCTGCCTTACCCCTGCCCTTGCATGGGCTTGTCCCATCCATCACCGCTTGGCTTCTTACCCGGTAGAAAATTTTAACAACCCAGATTTTGGTGGTATCTACAGCTTTTGCAAGACTCCATTTATTTTAGCTTTTGGCCTTCCTGAGGCTGTTCTTACAAATCTTGGCTTGGGACAGTCTTTCATTTATTTATTCAACCAAAAGTTTATTGAGCACCTACTATTTGCCAAGCACTGGGCAGTCATAAGGTTAAAACAGTGAAAAGTTACACAAGCCTCTTCTACAAATAATGCTGGAACAGCTGGACATCTGAGCCAGCAATCACACTCCTTGATATTTACCCGAAGGATCTGAAAACGCACGTCCACACAAAAACCTGCACACGGATGTTTATAGCAGCTTTCTTCATAATTGCCAAAACCTGGGAGCAACCAAGGCATCCTTCAGTAGGTGAATGGATAAATAAACTGTGGTCCATCAGACAACGGAGTATTATTCAGTGCTAAAAATAAATGAGATATCAAGCCATGAAAAGGCATGGAGGCATCTTGAATGTATAATGCTAAGTGAAAGAAGCCAATCTGAAAAGGCTACCTACTTTATGATTCCAGCTCTATGGCATTCTGGCAAAGGCAAAACTATGGAGACGATAAAAAGATCAGTGGTTGCCGGGGGATGGGAGGGTGGGGGAATGAATAGGCAAAGCACAGAGGAATTTTAAGGCAGTGAAAATACTCTGTATGATACTGTAATGATGGATACACGTCATTATACATTCGTCCGAACCCACAGAACATACAACACCAAGAATGAACACTAAGGTAGCTATGGACTGTGGGTGATTACGTTGTGTCAATGTAGGCTCACCCTTGGTAAAAAAAAAAAAAATTCTGGTGAGTGATGTTGATAATGGGGGAGGCTATGCATGTGTGGGGTGGGGCAGGGGGGGTTTGAGAAATCTCTGTACCATCCTCCTGATATTCTTATAAACCTAAACCTGCTCTAAAAAAATAAAGTCTTAAAAAAAAGTTCAACAAGTTCCTTGATCCAGTGACACTTCTATTCCACTGGAGGTGATAACTGGAAATTGAACGAGTATTATGTGCTCCGAAGACAATAAAACAGAGAGAGGATACTGAGAATCCAGTGGGCAACTGCTTAGATAGAATACTAGGGAAGGTCTCCATGAAGAGGAGACATTCCAGCTGCAATCTAAATAAAGAGAAAAGGCCACCCATGCCAAGATGTGGAGGAAAAGCTGTCTGGCAGAGGTAACAGCAGAGACCAAGGTCCTGAAGCAGGAAGGGGCTCAGCATGTGAGAGGAACAGAGAAAGTAGGTCAGTGTGGCTGGATCTGAGTGGACGTGGGGCTGCGTGATGTTGAAGGAGGGTAGGAGCCAGATGCCATGGGGCTTTTAGGTCAGGGTGAAGGCTGGCCCTTAATCCAAGCGCACCACAGGGCTCTGTGGAGGGGAGCGCTAAGGCCTGATTTTGATGTAGTCTGAGGTCAGTCTCTGTCAATCTCAACTTACTTGTGGGCCCTCTATGGTGCCACAAGCTTTGAAGGTGCCCCCACTTCCTTCCTCATGATAGCATTTGCATAATCTGAATTGCATTTGAGAGTTTCCTGTGTCTCTCAGGAGCCCGAGCAGTGGTTTACCCCTAGTTCAGCCACCATGAACCAGTCATGCCCGGACCTCCCTTCCCCGCCTCCACTGGGCCTCAGTCTCCGCATCCACGAAGTGGGCGGGTAGGACCAAATGATGCATATGGCATTTCCGGTCCCATCACTAACTTTGGTTTGTGATTGGAAGAGGATGCAGCAGAAGTGGGATCCAGGAGAGAAACGAAAGTGAAAGATGGAAAACATTCCTCCAGCCTCCAGGAAAGTAGGCAGAGCTGGGGGTGGGGACAGGGTAATGGGGGGGGAGGGAGGTTTTTAGAAAGCTGGCCTGGCAGGGTCCCTGTGACCCAGACTTTCGCTTCTCCTAAACACCCCAGAACACCATGTGACGCAGCCTGGCCACAGAAGCAGCGAAAGGGGAAGCTAGGGGCTCCCAGAGTTTCTCAAGGAGCAGAGAGCTGGACAGAGGCTGAGCCCGAAGGGAGAGGGCCTGGGAGGGGCGGCAGGGGAGGCAGTCTCGGGAAGGCGAGGAGCGGAGGAGACAGCGGGGCGGTGGGGGCACAGGGAGCCCCTGTGGGAGGACCCTTGTCTCCGGAGTGTGGGCCAGGTGTCACCAGGGGAGGGGACAACGGTTAAGAAAAGACGACCAACCGGAGAGACCCGCAGAAAAGGAGGGGGAGGGGCAGAGACGAGGAAAGAGAAGGGTCGGCAGTGAGGAAGGGTGGAGGAAGGAAGAAGAGTTAGGGGTGGGAGGAGGGGAGAGGAGAGAATTAGGGAGCGGGAAGTAGAATCCGGGTAGCCCCAGAGGCCCCAGGGGGCGAGAAAGACAGGGAGAGGGGACAGGGGAGCAGAGGGGAAAAGGGAGAGGAAGGGGGGACCAAAAGGGGTGAGAAAGGAGGGAAGGGAGGAGAAGAGAAGAGGGAGGCCGCGGGGGAGGGCCGGAGGGCTGCGGACAGGGTGGGGGTCTGAGAAGCGCAGCGGGGGCCCAGGATGCCCGGGCCGCGCACACCAGTGGAGCCCCGAGAGTCCGGGGAGCGCCGGCCGCTGCTGGAGCGCAGGCCGCGGGAGCCCCGACGGTGGTGGCGGGCGGCGGCGGCCGCGGTGCTGCTCGTGGAGATGCTGGAGCGCGCCGCCTTCTTCGGCGTCGCGGGCAACCTGGTGCTCTACCTGAACAGCGCCGACTTCCACTGGGCGGGCGAGCAGGCGTCCCGCGCCGCGCTGGTCTTCCTGGGCGCCTCCTACCTGCTGGCGCCCGTGGGCGGCTGGCTGGCCGACGTATACCTGGGCCGCCACCGCGCCATCGCGCTCAGCCTCCTGCTCTACCTGGCCGCCTCCGGCCTGCTGGCCGCCACCGCCTTCCCCGACGGCCGCAGGTCCTTCTGCGGCGAGATGCTCTCCCTGCCGCTGGGGCCCGCCTGCCCTTCGCACGGCTGCCTGCACACCTCGCCCACCCCCTACTGCGCCCCCACCCTCTACGCGGTGTTGCTGCTGCTCGCCCTGGCCGCCAGCTCCGTCAGGAGCAACCTCACCTCTTTCGGTGCCGACCAGGTGAGTGACAAGAGGGCCCGCCCCGTCGGGAGGCCCGGGGCGTGCGGAGGGAAAGCGATGGACCCGGGAGTCAAGAGGCCCTGGCTGCCAGCCTGCGTGACCCCTCTCCGGGCCCAGTTTCTTTATTTGAAAGAAGCTGTGGGGTTGGGGGTTTGGGGGTGCGGACCCCTACAACAAAAACGATGGCACGATAGTGAACCATAGTTGGCCTTTGACTATGTGCCACTTTCAGTGTTTTAACTCATTTCGTCCTCTTAACTACTTAGAAGGTAGGTAGTATTTTTATGTCCATTTTGCGGAGTAGGACACTGGAGTTTCAGGATGTTTATCGGCCTGGCTGAGGTCTCATAGAGAGCAGGTCGAAGAGCAGGTTAGGGTAGCTGCACATCAGGCCCCACACCTTGGGCCCCATCTTTGTGTGTTGTAGAGATCTAGAGGCAGGCGGGAGCCTCTTCTTGCCAGCTGTGTCGGAGGTTGAGTCAGGCCCACGTGTTCAGATCCCAGCTCTGCCACTCACCAGCCAGAGGCACCTGGGCCAATACCTTAACTTCTGCGCCTTTTTCTGTACACTTTTGGACAGAACATGGCACATAGGAGAAATTCGATAGATATTTGTTAAATGAATGAGTAAATACTGTGTAATAACATGGCTATATTTTGATAGCTCTACTCAGTGGGCTATTAGACAGTAATTTTTAAAAATATGTAACGTGACTTGAACAAAACCGCATACAGTGTTAATGAGCAAAAGCAACGCAAAATTGCCTACAGAGTATGAGTACAGCCGCGTGAAAAGAGCAGGTGTCAACAAAAGGGGGAAACTGGAAAAAATTGTGACAGTAGTGTGATCAGGTGCCACCGGTCTAGTTGTACTTTTTTCCTAATTGCTTTAAAATGTTCTTTAATTGCATGTATTACAATCAGAAAGGGGACATTTTGGAAGGAATATTGCATCCAGCTGGCACCCACAATGCGGCATCCAACACAATCTCCGGAGTCCTTACCAAGGAGTGACTCATCCAGCCTGTTCGGATTCCTTTGATGATGGGGGATTCAGTGCCCCCAGGACAGCCCCGTCCATTTCTCAGCCACCACTGACCTTCCTGCAGACCAGGAGACCCCCAACATCTGCCAGTGGGAATCTCTCAGCTTCCCTTAATTCTTCTGCTCTTTCATTGACATCCCACTCCGCCCCCAGGTGCCCTTGACTTCATTGACCTCCAGAGGGCCTCAGCCACCTACTGCCTCCTGTCTGTCCCTCCTCTTGGTGGCAGAATTGGTCTCTCAGAGGCTCGGCCACTGGGTAGCATGGACTGTGGGTGGGGCCAGGCCAGGCTGGAAGGCTGCCTGGGGGTCTGGCCTGATCCCTAGGACAGTTCAGAAACACTAAAATGATTTGAGACAGGGATGGAATCATTAGATTAGATTTTTTTTTAATTCTTTTCTTTTTTTTTAAACCCCACATTTGTTTATTTATTTTTATTTTTTGGCTGTGTTGGGTCTTCGTTTCTGTGCGAGGGCTTTCTCTAGTTGTGGCAAGTGGGGGCCACTCTTCATCGCGGTGCGCGGGCCTCTCACTATCGCGGCCTCTCTTGTTGCGGAGCACAGGCTCCAGACGCGCAGGCTCAGTAGTTGTGGCTCACGGGCCTAGTTGCTCCGCGGCATGTGGGATCCTCCCAGACCAGGGCTCGAACCCGTGTCCCCTGCATTAGCAGGCAGATTCTCAACCACTGAGCCACCAGGGAAGCCCCATTAGATTAGATTTGAGTTCTTTAAAATGGCTCTGGTTACAGGGTAGGCAGTGGATGGGGGTAACACGAGTGGGCACACCAGAGCAGCGAGGGGGCTGCTGCAGAATTCCGGGGGGGCTGTCAGATGGGGGGTGCAGGTGGGAGGGGCTGGCACCATCTGGCAGACAGCCATACCCAGGAACTGAGTGTTTAACACACTTGCTGATTTCAGAAAGGGCCATCCATCATTCTCGACAAAGTGGCTGCTTATTTTGGGAGAGCTCATTTATATCCTGAACGGGCTGCCTGATCCTCCCCTTACAGTTGCAACTGTCATATTCATTTATATCCAGTTAATAAACGGAGTGCCTGCTCCTAATGGGACTTATTCAATTTTCTGCTTGAAAGTCTACAGCAAGGATTTTCAGTGAGTGAGAATTCTCAGCGAGTGGACAGGCCCCCCCCTCCTCATCCCCGAGAGGACCCCTCAGAATCTCCAAGGGGATGCAGTTTTAAGCGCACCTGTGTGGACTAAAAGTTTACATTTGGGAAATGAACACAATACCTAGTTACCTTTTTCCTCATGCAACTACAGAAATTAAAGCTTGATAAAATCTTAACTAATGGATATATGTATCTCTGGGTGGAAGGAGAATAATGGATTCTGAGATTTGGGGAGTTATTGAAACGGTGATGGGGTACAGAATCATTTATCTAGAGAGGTGACCTCCAGACATCACTGCTTTTAAAACGTACAGATGCCCGGGCCCTGCCCCAGATCTGCTGAGTCAGAATCTGGGACCAGGGTCTAGGAGAGGTATGGGCAGCCAGTGCAGTTGATCCAAGCCAGCAGACCGGAAGGGGGCCCGGGGCCTGGCTGTCGCAGATTGATCCAAATCCTGGGTAAAGATTTTCAGCTTTACTGCCCTTGCTGGGGGGCCCACATTTTTTTTTTTGCATCAGGCCAGAACCCGCTCTTGGGGCCGTGTCTGGGACCACTTCTGCTTTCCCTGATTATGCCAACTTTGTCTGACTGGGAGGCAGGTTGCGGTGGGAGCACAATGGAAAACTCCATTTGCATCTTCAAACTGCAGAGGAAATTTTCAATTAGACTTTAACTGTCCTTTCAGTAATATGCACAAATCCTAGGACCTGAGACCTTGAGTGGCTTTTTTCTGACTATGAAGGTGACGCCCAGTATGGATTGCTCAAAGACAAAGGGATAAATCAGCTAGAAATGAACAAAGGGGCACCAGAGACATCTGTTGTGTGTACTAGTTAGTGACAATAAACAAGCAATGTGTGGGCTTCCCTGGTGGCGCAGTGGTTGAGAGTCTGCCTGCCGATGCAGAGGACACAGGTTCGTGCCCCGGTCCGGGAAGATCCCACATGCTGCAGAGCGGCTGGGCCCGTGAGCCATGGCGGCTGAGCCTGCGCATCTGGAGCCTGTGCTCTGCAGCGGGAGAGGCCACAACAGTGAGAGGCCCGTGTACCGCAAAAAGAAAAAGAAAAAAGCAGTGTGTGTCAAGGGCAGGAAGAAACAGGTGTGTCAAAATGTCCTGATCATTAACAGGTGACTCCCCAGAGAAGGGTTTATTCATTCATTCAACAAATATTATTGAGCATCTATTTAGTGATCAGGATGAGGAAAGTGCCAGGACACCCACCCACTGATCCAAGAAGTGTCTCTGTGGGAGAGGGGGTGCAGGCACGCGGCAGGGTGCCCTCGCACCTCCTTGGGCCTCACTCTCACCCTTGCCCGGCAGGTGATGGACCTTGGCCGCCACGCCAGCCGCCGCTTCTTCAACTGGTTTTATTGGAGCATTAATGTGGGTGCAGTGCTGTCGTTGCTGGTGCTGGCCTTTATCCAACAGAACATCAACTTCCTGCTGGGCTACAGCATCATCGTGGGCTGTGTGGGCCTGGCCTTCTTCATCTTCCTCTTCGCCACCCCCAGCTTCATTACCAAGCCCCCCACGGGCAGCCAGGTGTCCTCCATGCTCAGACTTGCTCTCCAGAACTGCTGTCCCAGGCGGTGGCGCCGACACTCTGCCAGGTAAGGGGAGGGCTCTGGGCGAAGAGGCCACATGATTCAGTTTAAAGACATTCTGGATCAGCTCCAGGGGTAGCCCTTTATGATGACCAGCTCCCCAATGGGCTAGAGCTGCCCGCCATGACTGAGGATGCTGACGGAAGTCAGGGTGATGGTGGTGGTATTGGCAGTGGACTCACTGTAGAAAGTATGAGGATGTTAGTGGTCTTGACAGTGATGGTGGCGAGAAAGATAGGGATGGTGGTGTTATTAGCGACAATGAAGATAAATGCTGGCAATGGTGATAACCATGGCAGTAGAGTGGTGCTTATGAAGATGATCTACCAGTGAAGGTTGTTGGGATAGCAGTCTACGCTACCTGGGTATTAAGTATAAGAAAGGCTAAGGTGTCAGCCAAACTGGCTCCCTTTCCCATTAGCTGGCATTCAAGGGAGGAAGGTTCTGAATGGCCTTGCATGTGCACAATGGCTTCCTTTTGCCCCTCTCTTCCCTGAGTTAATTGACTACTTATGCTAAGCAAACCTGTCTCCAGACCTTGGACCCAGTTACAGCTCCTGTCAGTGGGATCTAGACGGAAAAGGTATAGAACATGCTTTCCCCCAACCTGGTGCATTGCTGTAAGGTTTTGTTTGAATGGTCCATTGCTGCCTAACTAACTATCCCAGAACTTAATGGCTTAAGCAACCACCTTTTTTTTACCCCTCAAAACCTTGTGGGTAACTGGGCTCAGCCGGACAGTTCTGCTTCTTATGGTATCACGGCGGGCTGCAGTCACTGAGGACTTGAAAGGGCTAGAACATCCAAGACGGCCCACATTCCCGGCTGGCAGTCAACGTTGTCTATCAACGAGGACACCTCGGCTCCCCTTCGTGTGCCCTTGCCCCCCAGGTGGCCGGAGCCTCTCCCAGCAGGGTATCTGGGCTGCAAGAGGAGGGAGCATTCCAAGAGGGAATGTTCCAGAGGGCAGGAAGTGGAAGCTGTCGGTCCCTGAAAGGCCTTTTGGAGGTTTGGAGTCCCAAAGCATCACTTCCTCCTCATTCTGTTGGTCAGTGCAGTCACAGCCCAGCTCAGATTCAAGGGCAGGGCAGCTAAAATCCACCTGCTAGTGGAAGAACAACGTCACAAACTGGGTGGGGAGAAGCTGATGGTGGCTGTCACACCACACCGGTATCGTCCCTTTTGGAATCTCAAAGGATGAGGCAAGGCTCTTGGGCAAGTAGGGATTAGAAGCCTCTCAGGACAAAGGGCAAAGGGTAAAGGGTAAAGGTTGATCTTTCCTGTCTCCTGATAATGTTCCCTCCACCCCTACCTCTCCATCCCTTGTTCTGTAGGGAGAGGGCTCCCACGTTGCCTGTTGAGGAGGATGGACTTGGGAGAGTGCGCTGGGGGGACTGGAGTGACAGCCTCTCTCTCTGAGTCAGGCACGGACTGGGGCTTCCCTGGCTCCCATGGCACACCAACACTACAAGCCAAAAAATCCCCCAAGACTCTGCTCGCCACAGCCTCTGGTCTTACTTCCCCCAGGACCCGAGAGGCCACAGCTCTAGGATGGAGTGGGTCTTGATCGCCAACTCTGCCACACGGATGGCAGTGATAGTATTGACAGTGGCAGAAAAATAATGGTGATAGAATGAGAACTCCACGGAGGGGATGGCTTTGGTGATGGTGATGACGGCAAAAGGGATGCCGATGGTGGAGCGGAGGACATGAGGGTGGGATTTCTGAGATGATGTCTGTGATAGGTTGTGATAGGGGAGTGGGATTAAAGTCGCGGATGATGGGGGAGGTGGGAAGGCGGCCATGGTGGTGGTGACAGGTGACGGTAGCAGCCATTTTATCTGCTGCCTCTATGGCCCCTCAGAGACCCTCCAGGCGCCCAGCTGCTGCCTCATCAGAGGTCTCCCCAGGCTGGCCCTTCCCCCCAAGAGGACATCGCCAACTTCCAGGTGCTGGTGAAGATCTTGCCCATCATGGTGACCTTGGTGCCCTACTGGATGGTATACTTCCAGGTCAGCACCCCCGCCCTTTCGCTCTGTGGGGACTCGCTCCCCAGGCCCCTCACTGGTCTCATCTCTCATGGTAGATGCTCAGGGTATGTGGAAAGGGGGAGGGGCTCACAAAGTGAACTGCTGCCACGTAGCAGCTGGGGTGGCGCCTGGAGCTAAGCCGTCCCAATAATTACACTCTGGGTGGTAGAGCACAAGGAACTCTGGAGACGGGTCTGAGGCCCAGTGACTGAATAAGTCACCCCATCTCTCCGGGCCTCAGTTTCCTGTTAGACTAGAGGCTCTAACAGTTCTGCAGCATTCAGATTCTCCGCCTTGGCAACGGAGGCCCAGAGAAGGTGTGTTGGTTGCCCGAGGCCCCACAGCAAGTTAGGGGCAAACTTAGTCCCCCGAGTGCTTTGCAACAGTGGTTCCCCACCCTGGCCGCGCCTCAGAATCCCCTGCAGAGCTTTTAAAAAATACAGATTCCCAGGTCCCACCGCAGACTACTGAAAGAGAATTGCTGGAGGAGTCTCCAGTGTAATAAACTTCTCAGGTGATGCTGACGCTTACCCAGGTCTGAAAACCGCTGCTTCCTGCCCACTCCCCAAGGGGAAGGTTACTGCAGTGAATGTGTGTGCGGGTGTGTGGAGGGTGGGCAGCAGCCTAACCCCAGCCTCTAATCCCCAGTCCACAAGGTCACTGCCTCTCACACACGCTCTGCAGGAACCTTGTTGCGAGCTGCAGAGGGTGAGGGTCATGCAGGGCCAGCCTGCTACGTGGGGGTGGCACAAAGGCCGAAGGTGTCTATGATGGGACATGCGTGTCCATGGTTGATCCCTAGTCGTACCAGTTGGCAGAATACTGACATCCTTCCATACCAGTCAGCAAACAGCTGCTGCCCTGAGCACCCCAAGTGCCCTCTGGCCCCAGGCCCTCCTGCAGGATTCTCCCAGAGCCCCCTCCCTCATACAGCAACTAATGGGATAACGGCCGGTATGGCGGGGAGCCCTGCAGCCTGCCCCTGCTGCTGTCCAGGGCCATTCTGGCGGGTCAGTGCCTACGCAGTCCCCAGTTGTGTCAACCTGTGGGGCTCAGCTTGGCCTCAGTGTCAGATGAGCGCTCCCTGCGGGGACAGCCATGCATTATCTTCCCCATGTCAACAAATATTTATCCACACTTACTCTGTGCCAGGCCCTGGAGACAAGAACGTGAGCCAGGCCAGCTGGGCCTGGGCTCTGGAGCAAAGCTGCACGCACAGCCCTCAGGCCTGGGAACAGAGCAAAGGAAACTCCCGGGGAGGGAGGAGGGTGGGAAGCTGGACGAGGGGACAACTGCCCGGCTGCCCTGTGCTACTGCGGAGGAATGCCTGCCTTGGAGCTGGGAGCATCCTGGGATGGAGGTGAGGCGGCCGTCTCTGTTCCAGCCTCACCTCCAGCTCTCTCGGCAGATGCAGTCCACCTATGTCCTGCAAGGTCTTCACCTCCAAATCCCGGACATCTTCCCAGACTACCCTGCCAACAGATCCGCGGCTCTGAGGGCCCAGGGCAGCGGCTACAAGGTAAAAGACACACATGTGATCAGCCCCCACTTCAGGCCGGGCTGGGGGCTTCCTCTAAGAAAAGGAGGAAATGAAGCTGCCGCCACACTCCCGTCCCCCAGCGGCACGGCATCCTCGGGATACAGGAAACGCACCTGGAGGCCCAGACATCCTGCCAAAAGGCTCAGGTGCATACAAGACTTAAGGTCAGCTTCACTCCCACCCACTGCTGCTCTGAAGCGGGCCTCACTGCCCAGTTTGCACCAGGCCCTCAGATCAGACACATTCGGGGCACTCTCAGCTCTACCCTGCTCCCTCCCTCTGTGGGACTCCTGGATGCTCACATCTCTGCCTTTCTCCAGGACTTACCAAACCAGTTCCTTGGCATCTCAGAGACTCTTAAAATCAAAGACCTTCAGAGCTGGCAGATAAATGACATACCTGCTACTAGACCTCCCTTCCTTGCCCATGGCAGACATCACTAATCTATCATGGCATTCTTTCATGCTGAGCCCATGAACATTCCAGGCAGCCACTACCAACTGACAGAAGTTGAAGGAACCTATTTGCCATCCCTGATCTAATCCATCCCCTAATTACACAGCCGAGGAGCGTGTAATCAGGGGAGGGGAAAGGACTGACTCTGGGTCGCCCAGGTCTCCGGACTCCAACCCAGAGCTCCTTCTGCTCTGCTAGCCTGCCTCTCTTGGTTCCTTCTTTCCCAGATCCCAGAAGCCTGGCTCCTCCTGGCCAACGTGGTGGTGTTGCTGATCCTGGTGCCTGTGAAGGACCACCTGCTCGATCCTTTACTGCTGCGCTGCAAGCTGCTTCCCTCGGCTCTGCAGAAGATGGCGCTGGGCATGTTCTTTGGTTTCACCTCAGTCATTGTGGCAGGTATGTCGGCCTGAGTGGAGGGCCTTGGGGAGGGGGCTGGCCTTTGTCTGGGGCTGGGGGGAGGCCGGCTCCACCAGGGGCTGATGCTGAAGCTGTGGGCCTGGGCCAAGTACACCCTCCACCCGTGGGTGCCAGTCTTGGCTTCTGGAAGATGTGAGCTGAAAGAGACCCTCCTCCTTGAGTCCAGCCTCCCCTCGTTTTGACAGATGAGGGGACTCAGGCCAAGAGAGGAAAAAAAGATTTTCCCCAGTGGGATGTACACTTTCTGAAGGCAGGGGATTTTTTTCTTTTTTATTCACTGCTATGAATAATGCACATGGGTGCTCAAAAAATGTGTTGAATGCATTTCCCAAAGACACACAGCCGTTTAGCAGTTGGCGGACATTTTTCAAAAAGTATCTATTATTTATTCTCTTCCCTCTTCCATTTCAAAAGGATTTGAAGGCTCTCATAGGAAAGAAGCTCTGGTAAAGAAGGCTTGCATTCTACTGCACAGACCTCAGCCCTTTTCACGTTGCGACTTAATAATCCTGAAGTTACTTAGTGTCTTTGAGCTTCATCTTTAAAATGGGGAGAGTAATTCATTCAGACCCTGTGCAGAGGCCAGGCTCCACCCTCATGGAATGTGGTCTAGCAGGAGGGTTGTGAGGATTAAACAAGAGGAAGTCAGTAAAGCACCCAGCACCATGCCTGGAACACAAGGAGCCAGAGGAATTAAAACTCAATAAGCAGTATTGTGTTGCCAAGTATGAAAACCAAACTAGATTCTTTTTCAGCTACATGCTTTAGTGCATTTTGTCCTATTTCATCCTCACAATAATCCTGGGATTTTGATTCCTACTTCTTGCATAAGGGAACTGGGTCTCAGAGAGGTTAAGTGATCGGCCCAAGATCACACAGCTAGCCAGTGGCAGGACCAGGATTGGAACCCAAGTCACCTAATTCCATATCTGGTGTTCATTCCACTAGAGCACAGCTGTCTTCTAAGCAATGAAGGGGGAGGAGATAAACTAAACTTGAAAGCCAGGTTAGAAACGCTATTGTAATACTTGACGCTGCAGTAGAGGAGTCGTATATCATGGGAACGGGGCTGGCTTTGAAACTAGACACGCTGGGGCGCAAATACAGCCCCAGTTACTTATCAGCTGTGTGACTCAGGGCTGATTGTTTAACCTAAATTTCTCTTTCTTACTTATAAGAATGCATATTAAATGCCTCGCCTATAACAGGCTCTCAGTTAACGAGAGCTGTTACGGTTATTGAGTGCAAAACCTAGTTCTGAGCTTCCTAGCAGCCAAGGCAAAAAGGGAAGAGATGGAGGGCCAGTGTTCTTTTCCTTACATGCTGCCTAGTCAATGACTGGCTACTTAGCGAATACCCACTACATGCCAAGCTCTGTCATGGGCTAAGCTGCCTACAGTGGGCCTGACTGTAGCCCCTCTCCCCACCACCAGGAGTCCTGGAGATGGAGCGTTTAGAGTACATCAGTCACAACCAGACGGTGTCCCAGCAGATTGGGCGGAACACATATTATGCAGCACCACTGTCCATCTGGTGGCAGACCCCTCAGTACCTGCTCATCGGGATCAGTGAGATTTTTGCCAGCATCCCAGGTATCCTGGACCCCTCCCCTGCTCTCGCATGGGTGATGGGCTCTGCCTGGTGGTGCCTCGAAGTCAGAGGTCTCACGGGCACAGCCTCTGGAGCTTGTCTGCACGGAGGAAGGCAGGGTTTTCTGAGCGGGGCTGCAGTCACCCCATGGGGACTTATCAGCACTGGTTTGTGCCAGGCACTGCGACAGGCAGTGGAGATTAGAGGTGAATAAGACATTCCCCACACCACCTGTCCCCACAGTCCCCCTGGTGCCATGTTCCCCACCCTCTGTGACTTTGCGGTTGCTGTTCCCTCTGCCTTCCCATTTCCCAGATTGGAAGTGAACTCCCATTTCCCCTTGAATTCCCAGTCTAACTGCCCTCTCCTCCATGAGGCCCTCTCCAAGGCCTCTGAGCAAAGGGGGTCCTCTCTGTCTTCCCTTTGTCCATGTGGTCCGGGGCAGAGGGAATGGGGCGGGGGAGACACTGGGAGATTTCTGAGGTTGAATCAAAATGATTTGATGATGGGGCTTCCCTGGTGGCACAGCGGTTGAGAGTCCGCCTGCCGATGCAGGGGACACGGGTTTGTGCCCCGGTCCGGGAAGATCCCGCGTGCCGCGGAGTGGCTGGGCCCGTGAGCCATGGCCGCTGAGCCTGCGCGTCTGGAGCCGGTGCTCCACAACGGGAGAGGCCACGACAGTGAGAGGCCCGCGTACCGCCAAAAAAAAAAAAAAAAAAAATGATTTGATGATGATGCTGAAGGTGGGCAGAGAGGGTGGGCAAGAGTGAGGATGAGGACGGGGCTTCTGTCACTGAAATGGGAGACCCAGGAGGAAGGGGAAGAGGGGTGACAGAGCAGTGTGGGAGCATCCAGGTGGAGGTGTTCAGGGGGGATGAGCAGGGCAGAGGCAAGGGGTCACCCAGGGGAAGCCAGGAGGGAGGCTTGGCTGGGGGAGGGGAGGGCTGTGGCCCAGCAGGCTCTGCTCCTCCACCAGCCCCTTGGGTCGTCCTTCCTCCCTCTCTGCAGGCCTGGAGTTTGCGTACTCAGAGGCCCCACGTTCCATGCAGGGCGCCATGATGGGCATCTTCTTCTGCCTGTCTGGGGTGGGCTCGCTGTTAGGCTCCAGCCTGGTGGCACTACTGTCACTGCCGGGGGGCTGGCTGCACTGCCCGGAGGATTCTGGTGAGTGTGGGAGGCCTCCCCAGGAATGGGACATGGGTGGAGGGCGACTTGGAAAGGTGATGCCAACTGCCAAGTGCTTTGACCCCAGGCAGATGGAAATGGCACGCTAGACTCAGTACGGGGCACTCGCCCAAACCTGGCCCAGCGCCCACAGCATGGTCCTGTCCTGAGCCTCAGGTACCCTAACCGTCCAAAAGGAATCAGTGAACTCAGCAGACCTCCAAGGCACCTTCCTGCTTCCGAACTCTGCCATTCTGGCTAAGGGTCACCTCTCTCTGTGGTACTTATGTTTTAAGCCCCTGAAAGAACAGCAAGCTACCAGGGCATTGTAGACACCACAGGAGACACCCAGGGCAGCCCGATGCTAGTGGGCTATCTGCCCTGTGTTTTCAGACCCCACCCGCTGCCCACTTTGGCTTCAGCTGCCAGCGCTGGGGGAGCCCTGCCCTGACCCGAATGCCAACCCCTCCTTTCCCCAGGGAACATCAACAAATGCCGGATGGACCTCTATTTCTTCCTGCTGGCCGGCATTCAGGCTGCGGCAGCCTTGCTGTATATCGGGATCGCTGGTCGCTATGAGAGGGTGGCCCAGGGCCCAGCCTCCCAAAGCTGTCCCAGGAGGGACAGTGGCTGAACACGGCCCCCACTCTCCGCTTGCCTCTCTCCCCCAACAGACAGCCGCAGGCCCAGCTGGGGTTTCCTTCTCAGTTTATTCTGTACCCAACATTAGGATGAAATGGTTCTCATAAATATGGGCCATGAGCCCTTCCTCACGACCATGGTCCATGACAAGGGGCAGGGCAGAGGGGGCCTGGGTGGGAGTCCTTGCGAGGGACCAGGCAGGGGACTCGCATCAACAAGCACCAGAGGATGAACAGGAGGCTGCCCAGGCGAGAGGCCCACGGCGCCGGGCCAGGCAGGCCGGGGAGGGTCAGGAGCTGCCCCGGATCCGCTCCATGTAGCTGCGCAGCTCCTCGGGGTCCTTCAGCCCCATGTCCTCACACACCCAACGGATGTCCTCCTCGCCTGCCACCAGGATGGACTGCACGGCAGGGGCCCCCCCGGGCTCCTCCGGCAGCTGGGCTGGGGGTGCTGGCGCAAACGTCACAAACTCTACTCGCTTCCGCCGCCCCCCCGCTTCCTTCCTGGCCAGGGTGCTCGAGGAGCTGGGGGTGCCCCCGGCAGGGGCCTGGGCCAGGGTCAGGGCCTCCCCTCCTCCCCCACTCTCGCAGGGGCAGCCCCCCTCCCCCTTGGGCAGGCCAGGGGACTGCCGATCCAGCTGGCGGCTCAGGTCCTCCTGGTCAGTGCCCAGCCAGACCCAGTTGTGGGGCTGGGGGGCGGCAGCACTGTCGGGGGGCTCCTTGCGCTGGTAGCGCAGCATGAAGACCACACCGTTGACCAGGAAGATGAGGATGGCCAGACAGAAGATGCCCAGCAGGGCGTACATGCCCAGCTCTAGTTCAGTGACCCGCTGCGGGGCGGGGACCATCTCCTCGTCTTCTTCCGCCTCCTCCCTAGCTTCTGCCTTCTCCTTCCCGGCCTCCTCTGCTGCCTGCTCAAACTTGCGCCTCACATCCCCGCCGCCCCCCACACTGCCTGCCGCCCGCCGTTCTCCACCCACGCTGGCCTCTGGGGCAGCTGAGCTCTGAGCGGGGCTGGATGGGAGGGCAGGGGCTGGGGTGGGAGCGGGGGACAGCCCTAGCCAGGCGGTGCCAGAGGCCAGGGGCACACGGTGGCGGCCCCGGCGGCAGGGCTCAGGCGGGTGCAGAGCCACATGCAGGGGCAGCCCCTTGACGCCCGCCCCACTCACCACCACCCCGAGTTGGGCACCCCGCTCATAGGCTGGCAGCACAGCGCCGGGCTCCTCGGCCGAGACGGACAGTCCCAGGTCACGGTGGTTGTAGAGCTCAGCGGGGGCCAGGGTGTGGTCAGAGAAGGACAGCCATAGGGAGAGGGCCACCTCCTGTCGGGCACACAGACACAGGCAGAGACACGCCAGGGCACGCACGCATGCACACAGAGACCACTCCCACAGAGACAGGCCACACGGAGGAGGAGAGACCAGAGAGAAAACAGACACAGGCAGAGGGACAAAACACAGGGAGAGAGGGGACATGCGTCAATCACCTGTCTTCCACTCTGCCCTGGGGTCTGAGTCATCGGGAGGGTCCTCAGTTAGAGCCATCTAATAACCTCCCACTGCCACACTCCAGCCAGTCACTGCTTGATCACCTCCAGCCGCAGAGAGCTCACTACCTTACAGGGAGTCAGTCCTCATCCCGAAAACCCTAAGGTGAAGGGTGGAGGTACCTCCCATCCCCCTGTTATCAACCCCCAGCTGGAGATGTTGACCTCATCCCCCTGACCCCCCAGCTGTCACCTGCTTTGGGGCAGGAAGGGCTGACTGTGCCCAGCACGTGGCTGTGACCTCCCCGGGGTGGGCAGTGCCCCGGCTTAGGGCAAGTGAGATGCCCATCACTGGCTGCACCCGCAGCTCCAGCACCGAGACCTTGTCATCCGTCACGGCCAGCACCTGCTCCCCCAGGATGGAGTCAGACAGCGGGGAGCGCACCTGAGGGTGAGAGGGAGTTGGAAGTGTGGGGGGGGCCCTCGTACACAGACAGCCTCTGCCCTCTGAGAACCCAGCACCCTTACAAAGGGATCTGGTTTGTGCTCCCAGCATCTGCACAGGCTGCTTTCCCACCCGTAGCACCACAAGACCTGGCTCCCACATACCCAACCCCAGCCCTTCATACTTTGAGGACTTCCTCCGTTACACGGGCCGCCCTATTCTGACCCAATCCCCAACCCCCCTGGGTTCATACCTCCCCAGGTACACCCTGGGCCTTCCGACACTCTTCACACCTGACCATTAACATTATGGGAGTCACCTACACCCTTTTCAGGCCGTCTGCTCACCTCGATGGAGGTGATGCCGGGCTCCCGGCCCACCAGGACGCGGCCTCCCTCCAGCGAGGCGACACTCGGGTCCTGCACGCGGGCGTGCGGCGCCACGAGGTGGGACACGTCCAGCAGCCAGTCCGGGCCGAGCAGGTGGGTGAGGCGGCGGCCGCCGTCCAGCGGGTGGGCCGCGAAAGGGACGAGGAAGCGCACGCCGGCGCGCTGGTACTGCAGGCGGCAGCCGCGGACGCGCCGCTCGGCCTCCTCCGCCCCTGCCGCCTCGGGCTCCAGCACCCTGCGGGGAGCGGCGGCCCGGGGGCGGGGCGTCAGCGCGGGCCCCGCCCAAGGGAGGCCCCCGGCTCCTAGTGGGCGCACGTTCCCCAAGCCCCGCTCGCAGCTGCACCTTCGTGGCCAGGTCCTTCCACCCGCAGGCGCCGCGCCCCAGTCCCATTCCTGACTGGTGCCTTTGCCTATGCATCGAGCCGGTCTCGCCCTCCTCTTACTCCTAATTGGAACTCTGGTTATGCGTGACGAGACCCTCTCTTAAGGGGGAGACCCACGGTGCTCGCTCTCTGGAGGGCCTGGGAGCTCAGATTCCAGAGGCCTGAGGCCACCTCGTCCTTGCGCTCTGGTGGGATCCCCTCAATATTTACTAAGTGCCATCTTAGGCTTTGAGGACACAGCAGGCGACAAAATAGACAAAATCCCCTCCTTACATGCTAGGGGAGGAGTGTGGAGGGTAGTCAGACTACAAACAAGATTAATCAGATCACGTGGTATGTTAGAAAGTGATACGTACTATAGAGAAGTAAGACAGGGAAGGAGGAGAGGAGTGGAGGTCGGCAATCACAAACAGCGGTCGGAAGCTGGGTGATGATGGGCGGGCAGGGGGAGAAGCAACCGCAGGCAATGGGGCAGTTTTTCAGACCCCAGCTCGGGCTTATGGCTGTGTCCCCTGCACCCTCAGTCCCAGAGCGACTTCGCCAAGGCCTGCCAGCTTCCCCAGGGCTCCACCTACCCTTCCGCTGGGCCAGGTACCCTCCAGCCTCGGACCTGCTCGAGGGTGGTGTCGGTGAGTTCGATGTGCAGGGGCAGCAGCGGGGCCCACACGGTCAGCCGCAGCGAGGCCCGCAGCCGGCGCCACCAGAAGTCCACCCGCACCCCCCGAGCACCCCGGCTCTCCTTGCCAGCCACAAACACAGTGTCACAGGCCTCGGACACCTGTGGGAGGGCAGAAGACAGGGGGTGGGCGCAGCCACCTGGGACAGGTATGGACCGGGGGGCATCTCTTGACCCCCATACCATAAGAAAGGGGTACGGTTGAAATTCATTATGTATTTTTCTGTAACGCGTGTCCTCAGATTAAGATTTCCCCACGCGGCCGAGATCCATTCCCCTGGCAGGAACGGCCCTTCCCTGAGCTCACCTGGGGCTCAGCTGGGGGAACTGGCTATCTGCACAGGACAAAATCTTTCTCCTGGCAGAGGAGGGTTTGAATCCACAACTCTGGCTCCTCATTAGTGCTGGCCCCTGGCTTGGGTGCCGGAGCCACCAGGTACGAGTGGGTAGGCAGAGGCTGAGGGCAAGGCAGACCTATCCGTCCGTGAACCCTCAGGTAGGAACCACTTACACAGAGGCAAAGTGCTGGCACAGGTAGCCAAAGACACCTCCACTCAGGCGGCCAGAATTTAGGAAATGCAGGCCCTGGGCTGCCCCTCTGAGGGGAATTCAAAATGGGGAATGTTGCCCTGCCTTTTTTTTAACCTCATGGGTCATTATGAGGCTCCAATAATAATAGTTGTCTTTACTTTTACCATTCGATAATGACTGTATTGTATTATGATTATGACAGCAGCCCCTGCTCTCCGCTGGATACTGTCTTAGAGTGCTTTTAATTCTTACAACATCCCTAAAATAGATTCCCATTTTAAAGCTTAGGAAACGGAGGCTCAGAGAGGTTGAGACTTGTCCACAATCACACAGCTAGCTGATAAACAAAGATGGGTTTCAAATGAAAACTTTCCCACCATAAAGTACATGCTCTTAACTCTCCCACGTCAGTTCATTTGCCAGTGCAGTAAGAACGTGAAAGTGCCTAAGTTGGGGGTTTGGGGGTTGCACAGCTCCCACTTGACTCTGGAGAGAGTTGGTGGGACCAAAGCTGTGGTCCCCCTCATGAGGTTACTGGTGTCAAGAAAAAGCTGTTCTCTTGGGGACCTGAGTGGGGAAGGAGGAACGCTGTGTGCGCCACGTGTACACAGACGCATACGTGCCACTCACCTGCAGGACCTGTGTGTTGGCTGACTCGCAGCCGATGTGCTCTGTCACCTCCACCAGAGCTCCGCCACTGTCCACGGTGACAAGGCGCACAGGGACATGCCGCGGCACTCCAGTCAACGGCGCCGTGTTCACCAGCTCCTCAGCCTGGGGGTGCAGGAGGAGCTCAGCCCCAAGCTCTTCACCTCACTTGGCCCCCAGCCTGGCTGGGAAGAGCTGGGGACCCCTTACCTTGGCCAGTGGGACGAGGGCTCTTATGTCCCGCTCCGACACCAGGATCTCCCACACCATTTTGTCCTTCTCCGCTTCGGGGGCCTGGCCTGGGTACTCCAGCTGCCATGTGACAGGGCGAGTGACTGCCACGCCCCCACTAGTGCCATTCTCCACCAAAAAGTCCACCCACAGGAACTCGGACAGTTCAAGGGGGCTGCTGGCCAGAAGAGAGAGAATCTGAGTGCTTGAGAGCGGCCAGGCACTGTTGTGAGCACTTCCTGTATTCATGAGGTAGGTCCTACGATTATCCCCATTTTACAGATGAGGAAACTGAGGTCTGGAGGTTATGTAACTCGCCCAAGGTCACACAGCAAAAAGTGGAAGG